AAAAAAAAAAAAAAACTAAAGCTGAAAGGGGAAAAAAAGAATGTTTTGGGAAAAAGGTTAATGTTAGACCTAAGAAGATTGGAAAATTACCGCTAGAACCTTCAACTTGATTTCAGGTGTCATGCATTCATCCCCAACATGACGTTTATCCATACAGAGTGAACAAAAGCTGTAATAACACTTTGAGCATTGAGCAAGATGATCCTTATCTTCCAAACAGCCCGTTTCACATCTTGGACAGTAAACCACATCTTTCATGGATTCCAATGTTTTCTCCAATAACAATGATTCCCATCGTTCAAACTCCTTCTCTTCCAATAACCGTTTAATCAAACCAGGAGGAATAATGCCATCACATTTTGATTCGGGGCATTTGATCTTGAATACTGTTCCATCCATCACATTAATGCTGGTAAAACTTTTCAAGCATTTCTCACAAAAGAAGTGCTGACATGGCAGCTTAATGAACTCCGAACCTTATGGAAAGGAAAAAAAGGTCGATTAATCAATTTTTTCATGAATAATTTAGACATAATAATTTTTTCACAAAAGAAGTGCTGACATGGCAGCTTAATGAACTTCGAAAAGATGCATCTAGATGGCGTTATCTACTTGTCCTAAATAAGAATAGCTAACGTTCGTCAAATATATACACAACTGCAACATGTGAGTGTAGCCAGAATCAATAAGGTCAATCTTATTGAGACAAGAAGGAATCAAAGTACTAAAATTCTTACTACTTCTCAAGTAATTTAAAAAAAAAAACAAAAAAAAAAAGAAAAACTGATTTCTTATCAAATAGATCTGTCTAATCTTACGATCCTAGAAAAAGTTGATCAAATTATAAAGGATTTATTGAATGCCTGTCAGCTAAACCTCAATCACATTACACAAAATCTTATTTTAAACTTGATAGACGATATTTTTCAATTGACATATACATTCAAGTGAATAGTTATATTTCCTACAGGCAAAAAAATAAGTTAGGTGTCGCGAACTACCAAATAATGAGATGAACATATAAAACTTCACCAAATCCAAACTAATAATCATAGGGTAAAAAATGAGCTAACAAGAGTGACGGTCGAAATTTAGATGATGTGAACTGATGAAATGATTTCAGTAATTAATATTGCTTGGGGACTTATTCTGTAGTTTTTCCTTTTCTTTTTTTTTTCTTTTTTTTCAACAAAAGCAGCACCCGATAGGTTAATATTTCTACAAGACTTACCAGCAAACTCGCTGAGACAAATGCTGCATTCTTGGATGTTTCTGCAAAAAAACTCATACAACTTTTCATCATTGTAACTCTTGAGAGTAGGAATATCAATATTAGGGGAGGCACTTCCGGAAATTGCCCTCATCTCTTCTTGTCGATCATCATTATATCTTACACCATAGGGTCCAAGAAGTATCTCACTATCAAAACCAAGATAAGAGAGTGTACAATTATGCAACCAATCCACCCATTGGTATATCACCTCCTGCCCGGAATTTCGAGCCCAAATCGAATCGAGCTCACTACAGAGACGAGATATTCTAGAATGTTCCAACCACTGGACATATATTGTGAATTGGGGGGCACATTTGCTCGGGTAGGATTTAGGTAATAAACAAGTCAATATGATTGGTGGCAGATATTCCACTTGAAATGTGTACGAGAAATCGGAAATATCTTCACTCCCCTTCTCAACGAAACCCGAGTTGTTAAACTTTGTGGTGATGCCCAATCCCTGGGGCACTTCGACATGAATATGAACCTGTTAACCACGTAATTAAAATTTAATATTTTTGCTTCTCGAAAAAGAAAAGTAAGTTCTTTACTACTTGACGCTACCTGAAAACGCTTTAATCCACCCTGGTTCTCTAGAATGTAGAGTTTTTCTCCATAAATAGACTCCATTGCCAACAGCTGCAATAAAATGGGAAAAATGGTTTAGAGGCTAACGAGATAAAGACCAAATAGGAAAAATGCCGACTTGAAATCTTATTGAATCCGTGATAGCATCACATCATGCACCAAATTCTAGATCTTCTTAAAACAGAGATAATGAATGACGTATAAAACATAAACAAATACTTTGCATTTTAACAGATACTCTCAGAATTTGCTGGTCAATTGCATAATGGATGACTAAGACATACAAGAATGAAAATATGAATTTGGGTATCAAAGCTGCTCCTGCTTATTTCCTTTCTCAATATTTTTCCCTAACCTCTTATATGAAAGTAAATGAAAACAGGCATATGTGTGAACATATACACAGGGGTAATAATGCCTAGCAACAGACCTATTGGCTACTGCAAATCGCACCCTATCAACTGCTGCGAACCCCAACTATTTAAAAAGGGTGATATCAACTCGAAAGATACCTTTCTGGAGCTTAGTTCTTAACAGGAGGTGTGCTGTACATTAGATCACGACATATCGAAAAAAATTACAAATCATAGTGCCTCGATTATTTCGGACCAGCAATATCCTATGGTTAGGCAATTAAATTCCATGCTCCATCATTGTGATCAAAAGTGTCGATTCTAACGACCAGCAAGAAATCACTATAAAGTAACATCAGAATAGCGCTTAAATACCATACATTTCACCAAGTTCATAGCAATTACAGCACAAAGCAAAACACGGGCAACCATGTTACGATCAAGCAATAGCGAACGCATAACATAAGAATCATTATGATTTCACCTGACATCGCAAAACAATCGGAAAGAACCAGAAAGAAAAAAGTGCAAATAAACAAAAAAGGAACGACAACTGGTATTCTTTTTTCCCAAGAAAGGAACCATTAATATTGTCAACTAATAATACCTCATCTTCCTGCAGCTGTTGATTAATGGCCAGTAATTCCTCATCCAACTCGGGCTCTTCAACACTCAGACTCAGCTCTTTCAATCTTTTCAGAGTCTCATCCTCATTACCCGAATCCAATTTTTCATTAATTTCCTGTCCCCTTTCACATTCAGCTCTGTATCCCTCAGCTTCACCATTATCGGCACCGACATCCAAACCCGAACCGGACCCTCCAACCGAATCCGACTCTTCAACCTTCACTTCACCAGCAGCATCCGAATAAATTTGCGAGCTTGAGATAGAACACTCCGCCTCATCCTCATCCCCTCCTATTTTTTCCTCTTCGGACTTGTTCACGAATTGAGATTTTCCACCTCGATTCCTCGGGGCCCACCTCGAATTCCTCCGAAATTGAGCGCGCCGCCCTCCTCGGTTGTTTTGGTTCGAACTCGAATTGGGCTCGGGAGTGGATGGTGTGTTATGCCGATCAAGACTGGGTTTTCCGAGGTGATCGTCGTTCGGGGAGGCCGTGGGATGAGAAGCCGTGTTCCGGTTTCTCCTGTGGCGGCCGCCTCTACCGGAGGAGGACATCACGGCGGACTTTGAGCTGGTTTTGGGTCGCACTCGCAACAGAACTGTGATAGCTGCTTGCTTATATGAAGGGAGGCTCGTAAGTTTTATACACATTATTTACTTGGCCAGCAATCATAAATTTAAGTTGACCAAGAAAAGGCCAAACTATAAAATAAACATAAGTATACAACTAAGAGAAAAACCAAAAATAAATTGAATTTTCAAGTGTATTTAATTAGATTTTTTAAGATTTTAAAAAAATAAACTATTTGTTTGAAATTTAAAAAAAAAAATACAAAATCTTGAGTTATTTAATTTATTTGACACTGTAATTTATCAATTATTTTTAAGATTTGTTGATATTTTCAAAAAAAAATAAAAAATCAAAATCTCACTCTAGAGAATTCTATTAAACCTAAAATATTAAATAATTCAAAATCTTAAAAAGTATAAAAATACCATTTAAAATCCTAAACAAATACACATGAATTTATGGGAGCAAACATTATTAGCAATATATGAATCAAATAGCCACTACAAAATAATAAAATAAACAACAAATATTTCTGTCTCACACAATTACAATTACTGTAGAACCTCAACTTAATACTAGGTAAATTAATAATTTTTTCTAAAATAATATTTTCTCCCAATCTCAATTTGGACCAATGTAAAAAATTATAAATGTTAATAAAATAATAAGATAATAATTTTTAGAAAGACTCGTTTATAAATATATAGTCCCATCAAAATCATAAATTAATAATTCCCTGAAATTACAAATATAATTAAGGCAATTTAGTAAAATATGAATCTATTGTTTTTTGTTTCATCATTAAATTCAAATCAAAATTGATTTCATCCTTAATTTTTCACATTGCATTCAAAAGCCCTGGTGTCATACTCTCAAACTGCAACAAAAAGTTGTGTCATATTCTAAATTGAAATTTCTTATTATCCCAGCGTCACATGGTTAGATTTTTGATGTCATGTTAGGTGGCTGTTGATGGACGGATTCGATCAACGGTTAAGATTGATTGTAGTGAAGATAGAAAAGGAAGGATAAGAAAAATATATAATTAAAATTGATTTTTTTACTTAATTACGAGGTCGGCATCTGATGATGAGGTCGACACTTTTGTTACATTTCGAATAATCACGGGAATTTATTATAGATTCTAGAAAGAGAAAGTAGTAGTTGAGAATTCAACAACCCAAAATAAATGAAATGGGTCTTCTATTTATAGTAGCCTTAAATTTCGCATTGTTCACCCTGTCTTGTCGTATAGTGACCCTGCTGAGCAGGTCAACGCCGCTCTGACAGTTAATTTAATGCGATTTGAGGTTTTCTTAATAATTTCCTGACATGCATTTAATGCACATGTGAGAGGCATTAAATGCTGACATGCCTTTTTGGCGGGCTAGATATCTTAGGGTGATAGGCTATGGTGGCTTGTCCCATCAACAATCATTAGCTATCAAGTAGCGGTATTATATTACTTTCGAACCGAGCGCAGGAGCCGACATTGGAGAATCTTCAGGTTAGACTTTCAATGTTTATTGGCCTCTCGGCTCTTGAGAATCCATTTCTCTGTTCGGCTTCTTCGGAGATCGAGAGTAACACTTGACGGTCGAGACCCCGACCTCGAAGGTTGCATTAACTATCGACCCAATGGAATTTTCTGGCCGGTCAGCTAGGCATCTTGTGTTTGCTCGTTGACCGTAGGGGGATACTTGTATTCATTTTTGTCGGCCTTGATATTATTACAAGCGGTGTTATTTTGGGGTAAAATAAGACAAATTACATCAATTGATTTAATGCATATCCACGTGTAATATCTTAATAGGCGGGGCTAAAATTGGGTATCAACATCGTCCTTCCCCAATTCCTTGCCCCTGAACCGAAAATCTTAGGTCGGTTTAACTCGGGTATCCACAGTGGCAAAAAAACAAAAACAAAAAACAAAAACAAACAAACAAACAAACAAACAAACAACTCCATGTTTTGTAGTCCTTCAACATTTCTTTGATGGGCTAGACAATTATCTACCATCAACATAATTCTTCTACCATGTATTTTTTGATATAGCCAACGAACATATTCTTCAAAAAGCACGCTAGCCATCCATGCTCTTTTATTGGCACGATAATGACAATTCAAGCCATTCATATTGACATTCTTAAAGCAACGTGGTTTTGCATACATTCCAATAATCCATAAGGGAATTTTTTCTGAGCCATCCTTATTGCAACAAATAACAATTGTAAGCCTTTTGTTGTCTTATTTTCTTCCTTCAAATTGCTTTGTTACAATAGAATGATCATCTTGTACCTGTAAAACAACTCAGTCTCGTCCTTATTGAAAACACATTTCTTAGGAAATTGGTATATTTTTTCCTTTATAGACTCCAATTTCTGTTCCATGTCCCGTGTGTCAACCGAACCACTTTTTCCAAAATGACGGAATTGCATGATACCATGTCTCAGCTTGAACGTCTCAAACCAACCTAACGAAAGGTTGTGTTCATAAGACTATTAAGGGTATAAAAGTTTCATCGTCTCCTTTGCCTTCTCCAAAATTAGCTCTCAAGTAATAACTACATTGACTTGGTATTAAAGAAGCCACTCATAAATAACTTCTCCATCTATGGAAATTTTGTTGTTTGTGCCGTTTAACATCCACTCCTTTTCTAAGTTAGCCGAAAGATACTTAGCTGATCTCTTGATAGTGTTTGATATTATATCTTGACTAACTTTCAAATGATATTTTTCGTCAAGTCATTGTTGTAATTCTTTTGAAGTGATTGTGGGGGTGATCTCTCATATACTCCCATAATGCTTTTTCTATTTGATCGGCCATGGTTGATTTTTGAATCCCTTTTAGATGAGACGCTATTGTTAGATAAGAAAACTACACCAAACATATAAAGCCTAAAATATAAACCACATATTTATAGATACCTAATACTTGTTGACCAAGAAACCCCTTTCCTAACGTATTTTTAATTCTTGTACCTATAAATTTCTTTCCAAATTTAATTAAGACTATTTTCTATCAAGTCTGCTTGCTCACCAAGTACAAACTACATTTGCCAAAATTTATATTTGATAAATCCTGAAAGCACTCTTTAAATTAATAAATTATTAATTTACTGTTTAATTAGTATCTCTATAGGTTAATAAAATTTTGATGGTCCCAACATTATTAATTTATTGAGGTTTTACTGCATTAGGCCTTGGGCGTAGCACAAATTTTGGCTCAATTGTTTTGAACATTTACAATAACTAGTACGTTATCCGTGCAATGCACGGGATAACTTAATTAAGGTAAGCATCTAGATTTGGATGAATGGATGATTGGAAGAACATAAAACGCATGTATTGGAATAAAACAAAATGTAACTTATACATTATTAAACACATCATTGTAAACAACATTATTTGTTTGGTCTTTTGATATATCGTCTAACGCATTGCATAGCCGGATATAACAAAGATTGTAAAATATCTTTCTTGATAATCTATAGCCTTATTATTTTAAAATTATAAATTACTTAATTTAAGGAAGAGAAAAATTTTGTAAGTATATGCAATCAATTTAAAATTTGGTATTCTAGAGGATTAAACAAAACCCAAATTTTTAGGATATTCCAGTCCATTTCATTTTAAATTTCAAATTAATATTATTTGACTCTGTTTTATGTTTAAAAAAATTCAAACTAAAGAAACATAGCCAAATGATGAGGAATTTTGAAATTTTAATTTTCAATTTGAAATTGGGCCCGATTTCTATGCAATTTGATTTTTTTTTTAACAAAGATGATGTGTGCAATTAGGTAAAGATACATGTTATATTATTTTGCCTAATTTGAAATTGTCGATTTTATAGTAAACAGATTGTTTTTAATAAAAAATGAGAGAATTTTGACTTTTACAAAATTGTCATTGTGAATTTGGCCTCAATTAACCCGATTTCTGCAACCCATTTTTTATATATAAACAACTGATGTGTTGCAATTAGAAAAAGATATATGTGATAGTATTATGCCTAATTATGGTAGTTAATTTAATTTTAGTAAAAAATGAGAAAGAATTTTGACTTTTAGAAAATTGTAAGCATTAGTCGAAATTTACCTAAATTATATTCACAAATCCATGAATTTAGGATGCATATATAACAGATCGATTTTTTGTGAATAATTTGACAAGAAAATAAAAAACTGCCAAAAATTATATAATACAATAAATACTGGTTGACTTTTTTGTTACTATTTTTGGTAAATAGGTTATCCCTTTATATATATATATAGACAAATAGATTTTGAACTTATAAAATGTAACCATGTTTCTCAACAAAATAATAAAATATTTAAATTTGTAATAACATTAATAACTGTAAAGGTAAAAACAAACAAAAGAAATTATTTTCATCAGTTTTTTATATAAATATTTAAAAACAAACAAATTAAATTATTTTCGTAAGTTTTTTATTTAAATATTAAAGCTCTAAACTTTTTTAACATTGTAACATAAATTAATTAGAGTTTTTCTTATTTTGCTCCAGTATGAACGTAGAGAAACTGAATGATTATTACTCTTCATTCGACTTTGTTTATTGCCAATAACATAATTGTGCCAAAATATATTTTTGTTTTTACATTCAAGAAAGAAAAATATAGTACAATAAAATATGAGTGAAAATAATAAGTGAGGAATTAAAATTTATTATTTTTGTTATTAACTAGTGTGTAGCCCGTGCGATGCACGAGAAGAATATTAAATTAACAATATTATAATAGACCCCGAGTTTGAGTCACTCAATGGTGGAAGTGGAAACTACTATTGACCCTATTTAAAAAGAGGAAGAAAAAAATAACTATAAATTAAAGAATAGAATAAACAATACTTAATAATTATAAATTAAAGATTTAGGGTCAAACAATATAAATTATTTTGTATAAGAGAATATAAAATTTACATTATTTTGTATAAGAGAATGAAAAATTTGTATGTTTAATATAAAAAACACCTAAATATTATATTAGTATATGTAAAAGTATTCAAATTTTTCTATATTATTTTTTAAAGATGTGAAGTCACCTACAACTTTTTTAAACAATTTTAGAAGGAAAACATATCTAAAAACATTTGAATTTAACAGTGTAAAAAAAATAAAAATTCTATGATATTTTGTAAAGAAAACATGTCTACAAATATTTGAATAGACGAATATGTAAAAAAAAAAAATGTCTAAACAATTGGTTTAAAATATCTAAAATATTATAAGCCTAATTTAATAAAGACATTATATCAGATGATACCGAATTTATGGCGTTACTTGCATCTAAAAGAGTTTGATTACCATTTCAAAATTATTATTATACTTTTTACGTTGTTATCGACGATGTATTGTTAGCAATGAGATGCGTGAATTAAGGAAACAAACGAATTTAATGTATTTTGAACAGAAAGTTTAAACCAAACGGCTATCGGATTTATTGTTGCAAGCGGATTTATTGATGCAAGATAGAATTAAGGAAACAATGCAATTTGTTGCAAGCGGATTTATTCCTGCAAGCTAGAATTAAAGACGATTTTTGTGCCTATTCACAATTGTCAAAACAATTACTATATTTAAGATATATTTAATGATTATGGCGGGAAAAGGTTTCTAAATTTATAAAAAGGTTATTCTTTTTATATAATGATAGATGAACATTAATTATTTTCTTCATGAAAATTTATTTTAGAAAAAAAAAAATATTTAACAACTCGCCAAGCTTGAGTTGGCAAATTATTAAAACAAGTTTCTCCATTTTTCTTCATGCAGTTTGGAGCTGGATAAGTAACGAAATAACATAAAAGTATAAGTAAAGACACCAAATCTATCTAGATTCATATTTACATAAGTTAAAATCTCTATTCTAAAAGTCCGCCTAAGCGGCCGTCTAGGCGGCGCCTAGGTGTTAACCAGTGCCCGACCGCCTTCGATTTGTACAAATCGGCTGAAAAAATCGGTGAGGCGGCTAGGCGGCGCCTAAGCGGACCTAGGCGGGCTCGGCGGAAATGTTTCAATTTTTTTTTTTAATTTTTTTAATAATTACATTATTTAGTTATCATTTTTTATATAATATACTAGTATTATTATTTGGACTTAAGTGTGTTGATTTATTATAAGTTGAGATAGTTTTATTTTGTAAATATATAGTGAATATAAATAAAAAAAATAAGGTAGTTACCTTTCTATTAGTTTGTATTTGGAACTGTTCGTACTTATAACTAATAGTTGATAAACTTTTATTCTCAACTTTTATTTTTTGTTATTCACAAGAAAAATATATAGGTACATAATTAAAATTTAAATATTTGATTTTGCAGTTAGTTCAAGTGACAAAATGCCGCCTTCTCCGCCAGCGTGGACTAGTGTGAAAGGGTAACCAACTAAAATTTAATGGCAGTCGTAGAACTTTCCAAGAAACTAAACCTCGCTCACACACCAAAGTCTTCACAATTTATGTCTCAACTCTCACCGCACTTGTATATATAACATCACCAACATTTCACATCCTCTCCTTAACTAAACATCCAAATTAAGCACTCAACCAAAAAAAATAAAAAATAAAAAAAATTATATGGATATCTCAAAAACGACACCCAAAAGCGGAGTTCACGTGAAACACTACACTTCGTTTGTGACTCCTGTTCGAGGAGCTATCAAAAAGCGCATATTTTCCCGCCTTTTTCAACTATTTCGATGGAACTAAGAGAGCTAGGCACGCCTAGGCGAGCTTGGCGGAAATTTTTCAATTTTTTTTTTTTAATTTTTTTAAATAATTACATTATTTAATTATTATGTTTATTTTATAATATACTAATATTATTACTTGGACTTAGGTGTGTTGATTTATTATAAGTTGAGATAGTTTTATTTTGTAGATAGTGAAAATAAATGCCCCTTTTGTGTTTCTCTTACCACTGTTTCGTTTGAGTTTCATCTCTAGCCTACCCCAACTTATTTGAGACTAAAATGCTTTGTTGTTGTTGTAGTGAAAATAAATATAAAAAAAAGATATTTAATCTTGATTTCTAGGCCCCGCCTAGACGCTAGACGTTGGTCGAGCGCCTAGCGGGCGCCTAGCGACTTCTAGAACACTAGTTAAAATTAGATCAAAGTTTTTAATTAAACAAGCTCAAAAACATAATTAATCAAAGTTTGATAGACTTTCAAACAATCTCAAACAAAACCACATATGATTCAGTTCAACTAATTTACAGCCTCATTACTGATAATCCTTTAGGAATTTGAGGATCAACAGATCTATCAAGAATTGGTGGTTCATATCACCAAATATGGATTAAGAATTAATCTTTCCATCTATGTACTCTTTACAAGTCCACAGTATAATTGAAAGAGCACGAGATCCGGTTCAATAATATATAGTAATATTATCTCGACTCGTGCAGCCTTGAACATCAATTTAACACGCCGCTTTCTTTCAAGACCGATCCAATATTCACAATTCAAGCAAATTAGATTAAAGAAAAAAAAAAGACAATTCGAACAAGCCTGTAAAAAACAACCTGCATAAGAAAGATTTGTTGGGAAGCGTTGAACAAAAAACCTACTATATGATGGCCATATGTCCTATGTACGCAGCTCGTGCCACTGAGCACCAAGAAAGATGCATTTAAACGTCAAATTGAAAAGCTAAATCTGACTACACTAGGGCTTCAATACCAGAGATATCTAAACAATACACTATGAGGTACTATAGTTATGCTCTCTCTCAGGTAAAAGGATAAAAAAGACTTAAAATACTCCCACTTTGTGAAATCTTCCCAGTAATTTCATATTTCTGGCACTTCAGATATAACTGCATTCTGAAAATTCGGCACAATACAAGGATAACATGATTCAACAATCACCATATATAACTGCATTCTAAAAATTCGAGCATAAGTTAGACAGAGGACATGATGCCACGGAAGCCTGGTCGTGAATGGCCCCACTCAAGAAAGCCATCAACCTCTCAACGTCCACAAATTTCAAACAAAAACCGGTAATGGTTCACAAAAGTACACACACTCAATCTTGTAGCAGTTCACATATAAATGCAAATACTGAATCTCCTGAACTCACCTAGCAACTTTCTGAACTTAATATCTATCCACACAAGGTCACATATAAAGGCCAGCCTCTCAAATCTTAATTCTCTAAGTTCATCTCGTAGCAGTTACTACACATTACAGCATCTTTGGAAAAGAGAAAAATGGCTTATCCTTATTAAGTTCGTCCTCATGCTGCAATTTCACTACATGCATTGTGATTGAATGAAAACATACCCTTTCTTTATCAACTGCACAAGAAATTCAATATGACAGCAGCTAATAATAGGAAAGAATAAAGGAAGAAATTTTCCCAAGGCCAGGAAACACAATTGCCGACAAGTCAAAGAACGCAAGAATTGCTAAAGCATTTCAAGAGTGTACATGAATATTACCTATCTCCACTCAAAAGAACTTGCCCCAGCAACTTGGAATATACAATTTAACCAAACACCATGCACTGCTTTCATGCTCCGAGGCGAATCAGCTTCAAAAGCAAAGAAAAACCTACTTATTAACCCCCCCTTTGCCTAATTAATCTAATCTAGACCCATTCAACACGATTTAAACCCACCAAACAAAGTGAGCTTACTCTTAACACCCCGAAGTCAACCGGATAACCTCATAATAGAAACCTCCCCCTAAACTGTACCAAGAAAACTCCCTATTCTCCCAGGCTTTAACTCCCTCATACCTGAATTGGGTTCTCTTTCTCCTCACGCTTTAGAGGTGAAATGGGAAGACTCAGAACCCCACCACCATCATCACCATCATCAACACTGCATCCTGAATTACTCACCAACATTCTCACTTCCTTCTCGAAATCAACACTCTCCTTCGACCCATCTGAATCCCTATTCACAATTTTGTTCCTTTTACTCAAGACATCCCAGAAAAACTCGGTCAGCACATGTTCGTAGCTCGGCATCTTGGCATACCCTGGGAAGTAGTTGATATCTATTACGAGGTACCTGTTCTCGAGCCTGCTATCCCTAATCACATCGAAATTGAAGAGATGGAGGCCCATAGACCTCCTCAGTCCCCGCGCGATTTCTGCCAGGAAGCTCGTGGGGGGGTCCTCCGTCTTGCAGTCCTCAAGATCCATCATCATCTTGTAATACGTGTCCCGGCCCTTCTCGAGGCTGTTGAGGTTGGACACCTGGGAGAAAGAGAGGGAACCCTTGAGGGTTTCGAGATTCTCCTCGTCCACGTCCGGCAGGGATTTCCTCCGCACGCACTTGACGTGCTCACCGACCACATACACCTTGAAGATGACCCCGCCGTGGTTCACAAACTCCTGGAGCACAACCGGCGGCTTCAGCTTGGCCAGGCCGTCCCGGTCGTAGACGAGAGACATCTTGTGGGATTTGGCGCTGCCGTCGGCCACGAGGGGCTTGGCAATCACGGGGAATCTCAAACCCTCGGCGGCGAGGTCCAGCGCGGCCACGGCCTCCGACCAGTAGACGGCGATCTGCTTCGGGATCCCAAACGAGGTCGCGCAGTCAGCGAGGGTGAGCTCGGTGACGACCTGGAGCATGGTAATGCGGTTGTGTAGCCGCTCGATTGCGTCGGGAGGGTCGATAATCAGGGCGCGGGGGTGGCGGGCGGAGTACTCCGCCAGCTGGCGCCGCCACTCGGCGCCGTAGATCTTGTGGAGGACTAAATCGAAGGGGCCCTGCTCGATTAGAGGCCTGCCCTGATCAATTTTGATGAGATCGATGCTCCTCTCACGCGCAGTGTCGATGAGGGAAATCTGGATGAAGCTCGCTTGTTTCTTCGAGGCCAGGGCGTAGCCTACCGCGAATCTCCGCCCCGTCGGCTCCGCCATTCGAATATTTTCTTGGTGAAATGGGTGGTTTTCTGGTTCCCTTCGTTTGATGGGAGCATTAAAAAACTCATAACAAAAATTAAAAAAAAAAAAAATGGAAAGAACCCAAAAGATTAGGGATTTGGGCTAAGATTTGATTACAGTATCGGATTGAAATTTAAGCGGTCCGTCGGCATACAAAATTATGCATGTTTTCTTTGTGAATGTGCGCAGAGAATCTGATAGAGGGCTAATAGAGGTGACGGAGAAGGGTAGAAGAGATATATATAGGTTGGAGTCACGTCACCGCTATTTTTATTTTTTATTTATTTTTTTTTTTACATAAAAGTGGATTTGTATTTTTTAGATTAAAAATTTCATTTATTAATAACAAGACATCATATAAAAAAAGGTCTCGTTACGAAATCATTCCGTCGAAATTTGTAATCGTTGAATTATCATGTAACCGTTGGGAATAATTGATTTAATGATTACAAACTCCGACGGAATGGTTACGTCGTTTATAATCCTCTCTCTCTCTCTCTAAAAATGTCCATATGCAGAAAGGAAAAAAAAAAAGGGCCGACACGCAGTGCCCCCCTCTTCTCCACCTGTTGGCGTCGCGCAAAGGGTGCCCCTCCTCTTGGGCAATGGACTGGGCCGGTGCTGAAAACCATTTCCTTCTCTCCACTCCCCTCTAGCCGTGGCTTAGGGCCGCTAGCGGTGATCCATCCCCCTTGCCCCCTCTTTACTAATCAAGGGGTTGGGACCTGTGGTGACAACTTTCACAAGCGAGGCCGGTTGGGACTTTGGTTTTGACTTCCGCTCTCTCTTCTGTCTAGAGCTCGGTTTTAGGAGCTCGTGATGCGTCTCCCTGTCAAATCTGGGTAGTTGTTCGTGGAATTAGAGTTTTCAGATCCAGAGGCCTCAGATATGTAGTTCTCTTTGGCGGTCTTTGGTTTCGAAGAATACATTGTATGTTGAAATGTGGGGGCAACGACGGTAGGATCACTAAGAGTAGGAGAGGTTATATATTTTTAATTATTATTATTTTTTAGGTGTTTTTTTGTTTAATCACGTGAAAATTCGAACAAACAAGGTGCAATACCTACTTGACGGACCAGTATAGTTAAGCTCGGGCGTGACATCATTAGGGCAATATCATCTTCTACACGGATCATTCAGTGACTTATGATTTTGTCCAATTGTATAAAACTTCCCGAACTCTTGAAATCGTTGCGAAATTGTCCGGCAACCTTCAGTCCACCGTGAGACAAAGTTAATCTTAACCACAACATCAAGAGTAAAACTGCAAGTCACAACACCAACAGATTTTGCATTATCAAATAATATGTGCAAGATGGATGTGTACTGCATTTGTCAGTATCTGTTTTTTCCTACTTTATCCAAATTAAATGAATAAAAAAGCTAAGACTCTTTGTGCTGTTGTTCGCTCGATTCATCTTCTTTGCTTTCAGAAGCTGCCTCCTCAGTGATCTTTTCACTAAATTTCAAATGAATCGGTCTTCCCAGCAATTCCTACATTACAAAAATCGAGTATGGCTAGCATTTATTACTATTGAAAGGAATTCTATCAAGAAAAACAATTTCAAAGAATATAATGCGAAGTCGGATCATAATCACCAACGCATGGAAAAAGGCTAAATGTTTTAGAAAGCTTGACTTGAGCAAAATCCAAAAAAAGGTTGTGTTAAGATTGGAACGTAGCCAATTAATAGTAATAATCGACCGTACTTTCATCAGCCATCGATATTCATGTACAAAATGACCGAGGGATATGAGCAAAATCACAAGATAAATGCAAAAGCATCAAAATAAAGTGGTGAAAAAAGAAAGAAATTAAATTATCATTGATAAACAATGATTAGTCAAAAACCGAAGAAAAAATGTATGAATAGTAATTCACACTACACTACACTACAAAACACAACTATTTGCCAAAGAAGTAGCTTTGAGATTCAAATGAATTCAAATGCAGATGGACTCTATAGTAACTTTTAGCTCACTGTTTATTCACCAATTCCAAAAATTAAAATAGTCGAGCATAAATAAAAAATCTTAAACCATTAATTAACTAACAGAAATGATTATCAGGAATAACTACCATCTACCGAAGAGTTGAAGTTATTCAGGCAAGTATTTAAAAGCATGTAATTAGAAAATTGAAAGAGGTAATAAAATAAGTAGTTTGTTACCTTCCCATCTAGTAAAGAAATTGCCGATTCTGCTTCCTCTTTTGTTGCGAAAGACACAAACCCATATCCAGCTGAACTTCCCGAAGGACTATCAAATACGACTCTAGCCGAAACAGGATTGAGCTCAGAAGAAGTAAATAAATCCCGAAGATTGTTTGACCTCACTTTCCATGCAAGATTGGACACATAAAGCTTATATCGAGTTTCTCCCCGTGGGAGGCTTACAGGATCTTTACGAATAGGTTTTTTAAACTTCTTGGAAAACTGTACTCTGATAATCCTACCAACCAATTCCTGCCAAAATGATTACCAGCTAAATATCAATATTCTCCAAAAAATACATAAAAAGGAATTCTGTTTTTATGACAATGAAGCTTTATGCCTTGAGAATTTAAAAGATTGGAGGAAAATGACATAAAATGTGCTTTCCATAATTCCACGAACGTCACCAGAATTCAAACCTCAAGATCACCACTAACTTTTTAAATCCATTATGCTCTTTAGGATCTTCGGGGCATAACACCGCAAATCATCTTTACCATAGTTAGTTTTACGTGCTTCGTCAGAATGAAGGATCTTCCAATTTTAACTCACTGTCCTTTAGCAAGTAATAAAAAAACGTGTCATAACATCACCTCTATCCTTATAGTAGCATTCTCCCACATTCACATATCAAATTTCAATATACGAAGTTGTCGCATACATCTTACATGTAGTGTCTATTCTATCTTTTGGTCGTCTTCGAATTTATTCTGAACATAATGCCAAATTCTCTCGCTATATACATATCACCTCCAGCTATTCTACTTATGAAATCCTAAGCACAAATCTTTATTTCAAGATATTCAGCCAAGTGTTTCTACAAATAAACTAAACTTTCCCACAATTACACTAGCCTTGAATAAATTAATAAAATGTGCAGCAAAGTAACAGGAATTTCAGAACCTACATATTAGCTATGTTACCCGAACTCTTCTATTTAGGAATAATACCCGTGTCATGTTGTGTCGACACTAGTGTGGGTATGAGTGTCGGGTGTGGCATTTTAGCCTAAAATGTTCAAGATTTCTAAACTATTGACGAGTCGGACGCTTATATCTCCACACCCGATACGCCACCCATATCCGAGTCCAGGTAGCATAGCATATTAGTATCCAAATAGAATAAAATCAAATTAGGGGGAAATCTCGAACAAGTACAACAAAAAAAAGCTCACATAAGCGTCAAATTTCTCTATTGCAGCCAGAGCTTCTTCCCCAGAAGCCATTGTCACAAACGCAAAGCCTCTGTTTTTCCCATCTTTATGCTTTATAATCTGCAATTTTTACACAAGATATCAAGAGCCCAGGAGCCAATGTCTAAAAAAAAAAATTAAAAGGAAAGGTCATTCACCATTCTTCTTACCTCAACGTCTTCAACAGATCCACATTCACCAAACAGCTTCTTTATATCAGCAACAGAGTAAGACCAGGGCAAGTTGAGCACAAAAAGCTTTCTTTTGTTCTGGGCCTTTAGGGATTTTTCAACCTGTGGCTCAACGGCTACACTTTCCGCAGCCGCGTTCAATTGGAAGCCATGTTTTCCGGTGGGCCGCGAAGGAGGAAGAGGATGGTGGCCGGAAAGAGTGGATTTCGGAGAAGCCGCAGGGGCAGAACGGGAAATGCGGAAGCTAATTGAAGAGTACAAAGGTCCATTGAAGGACTGTGATTTGGGATAAGGCGAAGGATAAGATGGAATTATGGAAGTTGCAGCCTCCATCGCTACGAAAGCCATGGCAGTCTTTGGATCAAACCAAAATAGGTTTTTTTTAGGTGATAATAAATATATAAATAAATGAAACTCTCAGATTGGATAGGAAATGAAATCAAAATCGAAATATTAAATTTGATTTCATATTTAATCAGTAAAATGACAATAAAAGGGTATCGCCCCCTTATTACTAGTCACCGCCTCCTTGGAC